ATAAAGGGTTGAAATGTTGCTACAAATAAAAAATTATTATTATTCAAAACTTAAAAGAAGGCTTATTCTATTGACATAACACTTAAAACTATGGTTTTTACGTTTTTTGCAAGAAGGGGTAGTTTTCACCCCCTAAAAACAACCACAATTATGGATATGTAACTTTTGTAAAGGAGGGTGAAATGAGCTTACTCACCAGTTTTCATGAAAATCGTGCGTGTGTCAAGAATTCAGAGGTAATACCCTATTTTTACCGTTGATTACTGGACTATGATAGGAAAAGGTTCAAGGATGAAAAAGAGCCGGTGAACGGGTGAATGAACAATATATAGAAGTATTTATTGAGATTCAAGAAGGCCAACAATAAAAATTCGAGATTAGTTTGTCTAATCATTTGCTCAGTGTTAGTTAAATGCACCTAATTAAGCTTAAATTAATCCAATCCATAAATATTTGACATGTAACGAGTATTATACGATATTAGTTGTCCAATAATATTTTATTTACTTTTTAAGGCATTGCTTTTGGTAGAATAGGTACGTTCTGTATTGCATGGTGCAAATTATTTTCATTATTAATTGCCCTAAAATAAAACCGTTAATCCTGTAATCCAATTTTTTTAATTCACAAATAAATACCTTTGGGTTGTGAAGGATCTGCCCAGCCAAATTTGATAAGAGACCTCCCATACTCCCCAATCCACCAAGAGACCCCTCTCCTCCCACTTGAGGTAAATGGGGCTGTTGGGGTTGTTGATAGGGCTAAAAAAAATCCTTTTGTGAGAAAGTTTGTAGCAGTGGCAACCGTTGGAAATTAAAGTGGTTATATTTTTATGATGGAGTACGAAACTCGTACAGGTTTTTAGGGGATGGTTTCTACACCACATACAAAACTTTCATGGGAAAATTTCAAATGAAATTTGGGAAACAAAAAAGAGGTGTTTCAATCTGAGATGTCAACGCAAATTATTGGAGTTCCCAAGTAAGACGATTTAACTAATATTACCTTTATTCCAAGTTGTTTTGTTTAACCGCTGGAAGGCATCTGTCAAAGCTGGCGACAATTTTTCGTCTTTTTTTTTTTAATTAACGCTATATTATTATTTTTGTAAAAATACCACCTTTTAACGTAGTAACTGAAGTGATAGTTGATCCGTAGAATTAATTTTATATTTCGTCGACACCAATTTTTTTTTTTTTTTATACAAATCTAATTTAATTATGAAAAATGTTACTCATTAGATAGTAAAAACAAAATTATATTTTGTCAACTTTGGAAATTTGTAAATGACTGAACACAAATGTGTAATAAATTTGAATGCGTGGATATTAGGTACTCCTTATTTGAGGAGCATAAAATTAGATGAATTTTATGAAAAACTATATTATTTGAGGAGCATAAAATTAGATGAATTTTATGAAAAACTATATTCTCGTAATTTGCAGAATGAGAAAAACTTTAGACGAAAGTGTTACTGAAAATGGTGATCATTAAAGCTTTTAATTCCTTTTATCAAATACATTAAAATTTTTACTTCCTTGCCAACTTTGACGTCCTTTAGAGGCGAAACAAAACAGCTTTAGTTAGAGAAAAGTTTACTTATACATATCTAGAAGCCCAAAATGTTCGGAAAAATTGGACATCGCAAAAGTTTTCCCACAAAAATTGTGGAAAAATTGCAAAAATTTGAAAAAATTAAATTATTGTATGATTCACAACTTATCCAAAAAAATTTTGCAATAGATGTGTCATGAAAAATGGAGTTGATATCGTAAAAACAATTTTTGTAAAATCCTTATAGTTTTCCAGAAAAGATTATGAAGATTACAGTATTTTCACATTTACATTGCTCTATATTAGTATTATCGTTCTTGTGATAGTGTTTACAATAGTTTTTCAAATGTCAAAAATGGCTTAAGTGTATAGCAACTCGGAGTTGATGGATGGATATCATTTTAATTTATGGTAAGGCAAGACAACATTTGTGTTATGGTGAAGCAAGACAACATTTGTGTTTGTTCACAGAAACTGCGTAAGACGGACCCAAAATTTTGAACAGTTGTAACAAA